TACTCATCTATTAATATCAAGACATGGGCTGAAAAACAAAAGAACGACGTGATTAACAGCGTACAGAAACAGAACGAATAACAAACACGACACCTGTTTTCTTAATGGCCAATTTTTCTCCGCCGTATCAGTTCAGTTGTTCAGTTGTTACAACCATTAACCATGCACTTTCGTGCGCCGGTTTTGGTTGCTGTCTTTTGGTTGCTCATAGCATATAGCATATAGCAGAACTGGCCGAACTGCATGGTATACACTCGATCTTTTACAGACAACTGGATGTCGCGACGATACCACAGGTGTCTCAAGTTAGCAAATGCCAACCAAGCCTTCTGTATGCGAGCTGACACTTCATCCGTGATGCGTCCACCGGATAAGATGTAGCTGCCCAGATAACAAAACTTATCCACTTGTTCTATTACTTCCCCAGTTAGAGTGAGGCTGGGTGCTGGACCATCCCAGTCTTGTAGCAACATTTTACACTTTGAAGGTGCAAAACGCATACCAAACATGGCTACACTGGCGCTCAAGCTATCCAGAAAAGCTTGCAACTTACCTGGCTCTTCACTAAGAAGCACAATGTCGTCTGCATACTCCAGATCAGAAAGTCTGTCCCCTGGAAGTAAATCGATCCTGCTATCCTCACACGAGGATAGGGCTGTTTCCATAATGAAATCTATAACAAAGTTAAATAGAGAAGGAGAGTGAGGGTAACCCTGACGAACACCGCCGTGGGCTCGTATTCGATTTCAGCTATTAGTATAAGGAGATAGTAATACTGAAATAAATTTCACGGACACACCCCTCAGGGAAACGCATCTCCAGGGTTTAGAACGGTCGACAGAGTCGAAAGCCGCTCTCAAATATAGGAAAACAGAGATGGTGGGTCTGCGAAGAGAATGCCGATGCTCGAGAATTTGGTTGGAGTGAAGATGTGGTTGATACTACCTCTGGTCTGAACCCAGCCTGGTTCTCACATGTGCACCGTTCTCGTGCGATAGACAATCAACGGAGTGTAACACCAGCGAGGAGTTTGGAGTCGATGTTGATTAAACTAATTCCTCTGTGGTTTTCACAAGAAGATCTGTCGCCTTTCTTGTAAATCGGTATAATGACCGATTTACACCGTTCAGCTGGAACCTCTCCCCTTTCCCATAGTAAATCCAGGAGTTTCATCTACTCCAAGACTAACGAGAATACTCATAGCATCAACTGGGAGTATTTGTCCAGTCGAGGCGGAGAGTGAAAGATAAGATGTCGATGGTGGTCAGCCTCGACATGTTCAGTCTATTTATCAAGACGGCGTTGCTGATGGTGAGTCAGTATCATCGGATTCCTTTATTACCTCACGCCTATTTCCCTGGGGCCCGTATTCCTAATACGACGGAAAAGGTAGCGACTATTACCAATAGCAACAGCTTTCTCCATCTCTACACTTTTCTATCCACCATTTCCTGCGGTCATTCCTCAGACAAGATGAGCTGGCGTTTAAGGGATTTGCGTGCTGTCCTATGTGGCATCGGGAGGAAGGGAGGAAGGGTTCTGCGGGCGTCCAGCAGACCAGCCGAGGTTGATGAGATCCATCGTCTGTTTTGAGCCTGCGCCAGGTTCCAACGTCGTTTTTATGGATATTTGTATAGCTTTTTGATTTGCTTCCAATGTTCATTGAGTCCTTCGGCTGTTGGTTGAACTGACAGGCGATCAGGAGCTCCACTTCGAAGCTGAGTCGCTGAGATTGTATTGTGGGTATCCGTTATCGATAGCCTTTTTGTGGTTGTTCACCAGGCGTGATGATGACTTGGCTGGTAGCAAGGCGTGGTCTGTATCCACAGGTGTTGCTCAGTAAGAGCGGCAGTCTTGAATCGATCCTCTTCAGCGGTAACGATGGCCGTGTTCGATTTGGGTCCAGCGCTGTGAAAAGTTTGGCGGTCTCCATGTAAGGCGGTGTCGTTTCTTGTTCGGGAAGTTCGTGTTTGACAAGAACAATCCGTGGTCCGCTCAGAGTTGAGGTAGGTGATCTCCGTTGTCCCTCCGGTTGGCTGGGATTGCATGTGGTCCACCACGAGCCTTTCTGATTCGTCCATTTATTGCGCATTGAAGTCTCCGGCGATTACCACGATGTCTGTTGATCGAACGCATTGGAGTAATCGAGAAAGGTCCTTGTAGAATTCATCCTTGATTTCAGGATTTGCTGAAAGCACTAAAGATACAGGGGTATACAAACAATACAACACTGGAGAACGTAAAACCATTTGGGTCCACTATTTCTCGATTGTATGGTCTTCCGAAGATTCACAAAGAAGGAGTTCCAGTTTAACCCATTATGGCAATGGTGAGTTCACCACATCACTCAGCGGCACAATGGTTGGTGGAACTACTAGAACCCATCCATCGTAGACTCGCCACGCATGGTCTCTGGGTCAGTTTTCAATTTGTAGCCAACATAGAAGATATGGATTTGGAAGACAAAAAGATGTTTTCCTTGGATGTCGTTTCACTGTTCACCAATGTACTTCTGTTGGGGACAGTGCAATTCATCTGTGATCAAATAGAAACTCCAGATGTAAATGTTGGTATTCCGGTCACAAACCTAAAGAAACTGTTACCACGGTATCACATCCAAAGTTGGAACGGATGTCCTTGAAGAAATTATGCGTCGTGCTCATAGTATTAGATCCGTATAGGAATGTTTGGATTAGCCACAACGAGAGAAAACCAAAAGCAACAATTTTCCGTTGACAGCGTTTCGACCCTCTTGATCTCATTTATTACCTCTCTGTCTCACACACACACTAACTCAATTGTTCCTCCCCTAGACCAATCAAAAGCACCTCCAATTGATACGGCTTCTCTCGCGGTTTTTGTTTAATGCTCGCTTGTTCATTGACTTGAAAAGGCCTTCCAAAAGGGTCGAAACGTTGTCAACCGAAAATTGTTGTTTTTTTGGTTTTCTCTCGTTGTGGCTAATCCAAACATTTCTATACGGATCTAAAAACTGTTACCACGTTCTACACATAACGTCATTTTTATATGTAATGGCGCTCTCTATCATCAGATGGACGGCGTCGCCATGGGATCCCCACTCGATCCGTTGCTAGCTGACTTTTCGTGCCTAAACTAAAAGCTGCACACAGCTCAACTATTGCGAGATAAGCGCACTACAGTATGCATGATATCTTTTGTTTAACCGATCAAGAAAATGAAATCCCACAAATACTGGCTCATCAATCACTGAACTTCGCCGTAGAGGTGGGAACAAACATGTTGTCCCTTTTGGATGTTGCCGTGTCTAGAAGAGAAGATGGATCAGTAAGAAGACAGATCCACCGAAAGAAAACATGGAATGGTCAATACACCAACTTCTATAGCTTCATACCTCTAAAGTACAAACAATCTAGTTCGGTGTCTAGCCTTCAGAACCCACAGGATTTGTTCAGCAGACCCACAGGATGAAGAATTACGCTTCATCCGCCAGACGCTGCAGGACAATGGTTATCCGGAAAAGTTTATTGACAAGAATGTTCGACCCTCTCAGGAAAAAGAAGGCCCCGTCAGTGTCCCCAAGAAGAAACTATTAATAAGGATCCCTTTTCAGGGGTACTCACATATAGAAAGTCTGGTACAGTCATTGAGAACGGCGAAAAATTCCACTTTCCCTGCAGCGGAGCTTAGAGCGGTGTTCTCCACATCACCGGCGATAGGAATGCAAGTAAAAAACAAACTGCTGAAATTGACCTCATCTATGTTAATTTATTCCTTTAAGTACGTCCCTGGTGCATGTTACATAAGTTGTACGATAAGGCGTTTGTCTCAACGCGTCAAGGAGCAACACCACCGATGATTAAGTCAGGGGTAGACTGGCTGTATCTCAAATGCGATTGTGGGTCTTCTCGTACATACCGGACACAATATCGAACTGGAGAAAGCTTTCGATGTTGTTTATCGCAGCCCACTCAATCGGTCAAAGGCGGCCCGAGTTTGAACAATGGCCATGGCCGAGGCGATTGCCATTTGCTTACTTTGCCCAAACCTGTGTGCCCTAAAACGACTGGTTCAAACTCTTCAATGGCCCTGGTCCAGTGTGAAAACAAAAACAGAATAAAGCGTGTCCCTTGACCCAAATGGCGAAAGGTCACATCAGTTGACACAGTAAACGCTTCTACACACGCACACACCCTTCCGACTCCGATTAGTGACCTTTAAATGAGCCAGTCGCTGCCATTCTGTAAGCATTTTTCCACTGTGATATGTAAGAGCATGACTAGGAATATCCAAAAACAATGGCTCGCTCACCGACTCGTTTTCTCAATGCTACTATAGGAATATTCAAACTATCAATAACAAACCACGGTTTATGGGCTTTTTTCAATCCGAAAGTCTAATCGATCAGGACATAAATTCTTCGAAAGGGCTCATAGCTCCTGCGTAAGGATGCAGTGCATAGTTTCATTCACCAGGTTGTTCGGTGACGGTAAAAATTGCAAAGTGAACTCCCCGATAGTGCCAAATCGGCGATTCCGGGGAGTTAAGATTACTCACGATTCTCTCTATTTATGGGTGTTCTCTTTCCGGTGTATTGTTTTTAGAAGTGACTGTCCTGGACGTTTCTCTTTGTTTGTGGTGGTGGAGCAGTGGTTTAGCCGCTGTCACCGGCGTGCTTTGGACCCTATGGTCCGAGGTTCGAGCCCCACCACCACTACCCGACTTTGGTGGTAGGCAGCTCAGCTGTCGTCCGTTTCAATACCACACCTAACCTATCGGGGCCTTATGTGGTTCGCCACTCCAAGTCCCGGGGCTTAGGTTTCCGGCTTCCACCACTGAACATCAGGTCCTCGTGTTTATGGGATTCGCTCCATCTGCTGTTCATCACACAGAAGTGTGTAATAAAAAAGCTTCACCGAGCGTGAAGAAACCATCTTCACATCATGGTCAGACTCGGTATCTGATACTTTGAAGTTCTGTATGATGCTAACCTGCCAACAGTTGCCATATACACGGTTTTGAACGCAACAGTCTTTTTACTTGCTTTCTTGAGTAGTTCATTCGCTGGAATGCGTATATGATCAACCAACGGGCTTGTCACGGTGGCAATAGTGAAAATCGAATACAGAACCTTTGAGACATGAATTGTTTGCCTCTCTCAACTCCAAACTTATCTATTATCTCCATTCAATATCGCTCATTTCGGTTGATCAGTAAATCGGTTTTATCATATTCCACCGGATGATGTAAATATGGTGTCAACTTTCATCACACTGTCGTGAAGCTCAACCCAATACCTCGTTAATACTAAATACTATTTCAGAGCTCTTGTAATTAAGCGAATTTCACCGTTTTTCTATCAGTATTCTTCTCTCTATCCTTTTTCCCTCACTCTAGCATTTTTCGTTCGATGTTCCAACAATCAGTCGGTTGTTGACCGCGTTGGCTGTCATGTTAATCACCGCTGTGGTCCAATTCTGATCCTTCATCACTAAACACATCCATCCACACAGACACATAGAAACAGTTCCGTTCATGACGGACAACTGTAAACACGTGGTGAAAATCAAGACCAGCATTCAACTGGGAATTTTAAGCCCGGAACAATGGCATTGCACTGTGTGCAATACCACCGAAAGCGTATGGGCTTGTCTGTCGTGCAGCAATTTTGCTTGTGGCCGTTACATTGCAGAGCATGCGTTGCAACATTTTCACACCACCGGGGTTTGTCTTAGTCCATTTCCAGTTTTATCGTTCTCTCACCCCCTCTCCGTCCGTAGCATCCTTTATGCATTGAAGTGAATGAGAAATTTGTGTTCTGGTAAATGGTTCATTCTATTCCATTGAGATTGTCCGATTTAGTTACTTGTGCGACGATTTTGTGCTGAATGACAACGCGCCCGGGGATATCAAACTGTTACGCATGGCCTTGGATGCTGTGACGGAACAAAATTTTGCGGAATTGTCCAAACAGAAACGAGGTCGCCGTATTCTACGCTATCATATGCGTGATTGTAAACGGTAAGTGAGGTGTGTGTGTGTGTGTGTTTATAATCTGACATTGCAAATTTCAGCGTGACTCGTCGTTTGTTAAAAGCGGATGACATTCAAACCGCCGTTGTACGTCATCGGTGAGTTTGTCAATTGAGTGCATTTCCTCACTCCCTAACACACTGCTATCATCAGGTTTTCACGTCTCTCATGGGCTTTACGATTATGGTGGTCCCATTATATGGAGAAAAAAGTATGCAAAAACAAACACAATTCTCATCTCGTTTGTCTATCACAGTCTCTGGGCGACACCGCGTCCAGATTAAGAACAACCTCGGGAAAACGAAAGATTCCTCTTAACTACTCCTCCGCGTTTACCGGTTTGCGCAATCTAGGAAATACGTGCTACATGAATTCTGTTCTACAAGTTCTACGGTAAGATTTGTTTCGTTTTTCCGTCTCATTTAATTCCAACCGTTCCCCTAAATTTAGACATACCGCCTCGTTTGCCAATTTCATCCTCAGTCATTCACCGTCCGAGGTGCTACCGCATTCGCGTAAACGTCGCATGCTAAAGAGCACGGATTCCGAGACAAGTGAGCCCCCGGTCAAACGGCTCAGCCTCTGTCCCTGTCCTCCCTTGGATTCAGCAACTACTGTACATACCACATCTCGAAGTGGTACTAAAACAGTTCCGGTCCGTAGTAGTTCCCCCTTGACTTCAACTGATTCGTTCGGATGTACACTTGTTTCGTGTGCTGCTTCTCCGCATGAATCGCCCGTCCCATCCTCAACTATTCGTCCGGAACTAAAGACGAAGGACGAATCAGTGTCTGTTCACGATGTTGGTGCTAGTGGTGGATTAAATGGTGGCCGTTGTGCTGTGGCTCGGGTTGAGGACACACAGACTGTCTTCACTCTATCTTCCGCAAATCCCACCGAAGAAACCGCCGTCCCTAATCGGTCCTTGTATGAGGAATTGTATGGCATGTTTCGTACTCTTTGGTCTGGACAGCGTACAGTGGTCAGTCCGAGTAGTTTGCTCTATGCCATCTGGACTGCATTGCCCACATTCAAAGGATACCGCCAACAAGATGCCCAAGAGTTTCTTAGTGTCTTCCTGGATCGTTTACAATCAGAACTACACGGGGACAATCGTACAGTCTCGGTTAATTCACGTGACTTCGTGAATCGGACTTTTCAAGGTCATTGTGTGAGCCACGTGCGTTGTTCCGTATGCAATGTGGTTACTTGTACGGAGGAACCTTTCTCGGAGCTGAGTCTTGCCCTCCCATTGGCCTGTTACACAGGTGATGCAACGGAATGTGCACTAACCGATTTGTTGCAAAAATTCTTTAGTCCTACTCCGATCGATGGGACTAGCTATGCGTGTCATCAGTGTAATCGAAAACTGGGCACCGCTGTTCAACCGACCCAATCTCCGTCGAGTTTGAATTTACGGGATTCGCTTGATTCATGCCTGAGCAACTTGAAGCCGTCCACTCCTTTTCACAGTATGTGAACGGTTTACAATATTGCAATTTGATTTTTGAATTTTATAGCAGATAATAAAGTGTATGTATGTATGTATGTATGTATGTATGTATGTATGTATGTATGTATGTATGTATGTCAGTGTATGTATGTATGTATGTATGTATGTATGTATGTATGTATGTATGTATGTATGTATGTCAGTATGTATGTATGTATGTATGTATGTATGTATGTATGTATGTATGTATGTATGTATGTATGTTTGTATGTAAATGATATCCAGTTTGATCTTTTTTCTTGTTTCTGATAGGATTCCGATCGTTTTCCTGGTTTTATTCAATTG